ACAAAGAATTATGGCAAAAGTACTTGAATTTTCACATCCAGATTCCAATAAAAGTACCAATTTATGCAAATAAAATATAAATTGCGAAATAATTGTGGCAAAAATAATTGAATTATCACATCCAGATAATATTATTCTTGTAAATAGCCTTTCTGGCCGCCTTGAGGCTTTTTTAAACTATTTTGAGTTTGCAAACTTCGCCGAATTCGCTGCAAAACTTGAACTGCATGCAAGTGAGCGAATTGCTGCAGCAAATTTCGAAAATTAATGTTTTTTAAATGCTCCAATAACTCCAATAAGTCTCGCTTTCCACTTAATGAGTTTTTTAGAAAGAAGTTGTTCTTTAAATGCTCCAATAACCCTCGCTTTCCACCAAACTGAGCTTTTCAGAAGAAAACTTGAACTGATTGGCAAACCACTGAGTCCAAAAAGCTGCACTTTTTTCCTTTTTGGAGGAACTTGCAAATTAAAATGCTTTAAAATGCTCTTTAATGAACATTAAAAGAAAAAAACAATTTATTTTCAAGTTCGGAGGAAGAAGTCCAGAAAGAACTTCCACAAACTCTAACTTTGCCTGTTTGTCGTGAGTTAAGAAAGGTTTTTTCTTGAACTTGGAAAAATTATTTGATTATTCTTTTTAAATGACTCAAATTGCATTTTATTTTGGAAAAGGAGTTCAAATTCGCGGAGAACTGCAGCAGCTGTTGCACTTCTGCAGCAGCTGCAGAAGAGCAGGTGGGGTTGTTGTTGCTGCTGCACTCAGCGCTGCTGCTGCTGCTGCTGCTGCTGCTGTCTTGCTGCAGCAATAAAGGCCTTCAAAAGAAATAAACTTCGGAGTTTAAATGGAGTTATGGGCAGCCCCGAAGAGCCCGCATGCAGCCAGGCAAAAGCCCCCGGCCAAGTCCTTGCCAGCTGCCAGTGATAAGTAACGGGAAGCCAGCAGCAGCAGCAGCAGCAGCAGCAGCAGCAGCAGCAGCAGCAACAGCAGCAGCACTCCCGTATTGGCGCATGCGCCTTCAACTGCTTTTGCTGCCGGTTTTTATTCACAAATTTCTGCAAAAAGGGATTTATTTTAAATTTGATTTATTTTAAATTTGATTTAATTTAAATTTGATTTATTTTAAATTTGATTTATTTTTAATTAAAGTCTGCAGCAGAAATAAAAGTGTAAAAGTGATTTGTTTCGAAGTGGGAGTTGCGAGCTGCTGCTCGGGGAGGTGGACATACACCCCAGGCTGTCCGCTGTCTGCTGCAGCAGCAAACGCAAAGAAAGTGAAATTAATAATTATTTGTTTTGCTGCTGCTGCTGCTGCTGCTGCTGCTGCGCTGCAGCAGCAGCAAGACAGCGCGTGTGAGAGCCAAGGAAGCAAATTGAAACAAAGATCAATTAAAACTAAGTGTTAATGATCATGAAGACATGATCAAATAAAACCAAAACTTCCTTCCTACCCTCTACGCTTACTCTGCTGCTGCTGCTGCCGCCGCCGCTGCTGCTGCTGCTGCTGCTGCTGCTGCTGCAGCATCGGGCCTGCTGCTGGCTGGCTAGGTGTGGGGGGGGCCTCCTAGAGGGGTTGGCAGCAGAATAAGGAGAGCAGCAGCAGCAAAAGAAGAAGAAAGTGAGCAGCAAAAAGAAAAGTGAATTACAGCAGCAAAAGGGGCGGAGAGCAGCAGCGAGGCTCGAGGCTGTCTCGGGTGGGGCGGGGCTGCTGCTGCTGCTGCGCGCAGCAGCGCAGCGGCGGCTGCGCGCGGGTTTGCGGGCAAGTTTGCGTTTTTATCAATTTAAAGGAATTAAATTGATAAATTTGGAATAAAAAAAGCGAAAAAGAGCAGCAAATGGCGTTCTTTGCCCCCGCAAGGCTGGCTCTGGCGCCCGGCGGCGCCTGCTCCCGGGCCGCAGCAGCAGCTCTTGCTGCTCCCAAACCTGCGCCCCTTTTGCCCTTTTGCGGCTCTTTTTGCGGCTCTTTTTGCCCCACTTTGGCTTTTCGGGCGCTTTCGACGGCTCCGCTGCTGCAGCGGCACCGCGCGGTGGCTCAGGAGCCCTGCGCGCGCTGGCCCGCCGCCGCCTTGACTCCCCTGAGCAGCAGCAGCAGCAGCAGCAGCAGCAGCGGCCCCAGCCCGGTGAGCTGCCCTTCCCAAGCCCTTTGAAAGCCCTTTTGCTGCTGCTGCTTCAACTCTTCTTGTGCTGCTGCCGAAGCTGCGCACAGCAGCAGCGCGGGCCGGGTGTACGTACACCTGGCGCTGCTGCTGCTGCTGCTGCTGCTCGCTGCGCAGCGCCGATTTCGCTCCATTTAAATTCGTTTTCTTGATTTTTGCGAGCTGCTGCCACTCGTGCTGCAGCAGCTCCTTTCCAGTGTTTGCTGCTGCTCATGTCCGCCCATTTGCTGCTGCTCGTCTCCCATTTGCTGCTGCTGGTGTCCCATTTGCTGCTGCTGGTGTCCCATTTGCTGCTGCCGCAATCTCCCTTTCCCCTCTCCCACTTGCTGCTGCTGCTGCTGCTGCTGCTGCTGCCAACGCAAACAAGCCCTGCTCACCAAAACGCGTCCTGCTGCCGTGCTGCCGCCGCCGCCGCTGCTGCTGCTGCGCTGCTGCTGCTGCTGCTGCTGCTGCTGCTGCAGGTGGGGGCGGTGCGGCACGAGGCGTCGGTGGCGACGCTGTCTGCTGCTGTTGCACTCATGTCCGTGGGGGGAGTTGCGCAGGGGATCGGATCCCTTTTTGCTGCTTTAGTTTCGGGAACTGCTCGAAATCCTTCCATTAAAGAAGACCTTTTCACTTACACTTTAATTGGAATGGGATTTCTGGAGTTTCTCGGGATCATTTGTGTCATGATGAGCGCCGTGCTGCTGCAGCAGCAGCGGCCCAGTTTTTGAATTGGTGGACAGGGAGAGAAGACCCGCAATTTAATTTTGAAAAATAAAATTTAATATTTCATTTTTATTTTATTTTGCAAAAGGGATTTAAAGATATCCATTTCTGCTGCAAAGAGAAGCAAAGAAATATACATGAGCAGCAGCAGACACACCGCAGCAGCAGCAGCAGCAACAGCAGCAACAGCAGCGCGAGTAGTAGTTCGGGTAGCAGCAGCAGCAGCAGCTGCAGCAGCTGCTGCAGCAGCAGCAAATGCTGGTTTTGTTCGGCCCTTTAAAACGTAGAAGCAGAGTCTGCAAGTATAATTAATAAATAAATAATTATAAATAATAATTATAAATAATAATTGCAAATAATAATTATAAATAATAAATGGAATAAATGTAAATGAAGAGAAATAATGAAAATGGAAAAACGCAAAACTGCGCTGACCAAACCGACGAAGCAGCACAAGTCAGGTGTACGTACACCCAAGCTTGGGCTAAGCTGCAGCTGCTGCAGCAGCAGCTGCTGCAGCAGCAGCTGCTGCAGCAGCAGCAGCAGCTGCAGCAGCTGCAGCAGCAGCGGCTCCAGCAGCAGCACGGCTGCTGCAACTAGTGCAGGAGGAACTTCGGTCGCTTCTGTTGCTGCTGCTGCAGCAGCTTCTGCTGCAGCTGCTAAGGAGCAAGCGTGGGCAGCTAAGGGAAAGCAGCGCTGCAGCGGCAGCAGCAGCAGTTGCTGCTGCTGCTGCTGCTGCTGCAGCAGGAAAATTCACTTGGGGCTTTTCAGGCCTCTTTTGGGGCCCTAGAAGAGGCTGGGCTGCATTGTAGGAAAGGAAGACGCAACTTGCTGCTGCTGCAGCTGCTGCTGCTGCTGGAGCCGCTGCAGCTGCTGCTGCTGGAACTGCTGCAGCTGCTGCTGCTGGAACTGCTGCAACTGCTGCTGCTGGAACTGCTGCAGCGGCTGCTGCTGCTGCCAAGGCTGCCCGCCCATGCCCCCCAATGTGAATGGCTGCTGCGCCGGGGCCCCGGCGCCCATCATGCGCTGCTGCGTGCTGCTGCTGCTGCTGCTGCTGCTGCTGCTGCTGCTTGCTGGGACAGGCTGCGCCGAAATGCTGCTGCTGGAGCTGAGACTAAATGGCTGGGGAGCTCCGCTGCTGCTGCTAGGGTTGCTGCTGCTGAGGCTAAATGGCCGTGAAAACGCGTTGTTACTGTTGCTGCTGCTGCTGCTGCTGCTGCTGCTGCTGCTGCCCATACTGAATGGCTGTTGCCACGGCTGCTGCGGTGCAGCAGCAGCTGCAGCAGCACCTGCAGCAGCAGGCTGCGCAGCAGCTCCAGAGTGTGGGGCCCCTGCAGCAAACAAAAATAAACAATTCCACCACAGCTAACTCTGACCTAAATGAACAGATAGGGGGCCCCCCAAACACCCTGCTCAAGGGCCCCAGGGGCCCCCCGAGGGCCCCCTAAGGGGCCCCCAAGGGGCCCCCAGGGGGCCCCCAAGGGGCCCCAAAAGGAGCCCCCAAAGGGGCCCCCAAAGGGGCCTCCAAGGGGCCCCCAAGAAGCCCGCAGGCACAAGCAAAAGAACTGGGGGTGTTCTGGGGCCCCTGGGGGCCTCCAGGGGGCCCCCAAGGGGCCCCAGGGGGCCCCCAAGGGGCCCCAGTGGGCCCCCAAGGGGCCCCCAGGGGGCCCCCAAGGGGCCCCCAGGGGGCCCCCAAGGGGCCCCCAGGGGGCCCCCAAGGGGCCCCCAGGGGGCCCCCAAGGGCCCCCTGGCTGTACAAGTTCTGGTGCTGCCTAACCTGTATTTGCTTGTTGAAAGCCCCCGAAGCTCTCAAGGGAAGTGGAGACACCAGCAGCAGCAGCAGAAGCCCCTGAGAGCAGCAGCAGCAGCAGCAGCAGCAGCGGGTGAGCTGTGGATCTTGCGGTGGCAAAAGAGCTAAGCGTGCGGCAGCAGCAGCAGCTGCTGCTGCTGCAGTGGCAAAACTGACCATTGGTCCATTGTGCTGCTGCTGCAGCAGGCGCGGGGGCTGCGGGCGCAGCGAAGGCAGCAGCCACAGCATCGAGGGAGCTGCTGCATGCAGCAGGAGCAGCAGCAGCAGCAGCAGCAGGAGCAGCAGCAGGAGTAGCTGCCTGAAAGCCCCCAAATAAATCATCACTGAGACTCCCAGAGGGGGCCCCCAGGGGGCCCCTCCCTCCTGGCGGCGGGGGAGGCAGCAAAGAAGGAAAGCTGCTGCTGGATCCTGCTGCTGCAGCAGGAGCAGCAGCAGCAGCAGCAGCAGCAGCAGCAGGCTCTGTCCACACGCTCTGGCCTGCGTGCATGCGCACAGCCCCCCGCAAAGCCCCAAGACTCGAAGCAATTAAATTAAATTAAATTAAATTAAATTAAATTAAATTAAATTAAATTAAAATAAACAAAATATAAATTATATTTAATTCAAACTGCAACAAAAAGTCCAAAGTACCCGAAGCAAAAGGCGGGGGGCCCCCGGGGGCCCCCAGCGGCTCCAAAGGCGGACTGTCGAAGCCCAGCAAGTCTGCCTGCTGCCTGCACACCCCAGCAGCAGCAGCAGCAGCAGCAGCAGCAGCAGGAGCAGCAGCAGCAGGAGCAGCAGCAGCAGGAGCAGCAGCAGCAGGAGCAGCAGCAGCAGGAGCAGCAGCAGCAGCAGCAGGAGCAGCAGCAGGAGCAGCAGGCGGCAGTTTATGAGCAAGCAAGGCAAGGCTGTGCGTCTGTCAATTAATCAATTAATTAGTTAATTAATTAATTAATTAATTAATTAATTAATTAATTAAATTAATTAACTAATTAAATTAATCAATTAAATTAATTAATCAATTGAGCGAATAATTCAAAGAAAAGCTCAAGCCCCGGGACCCGCAGGGTGTACGTACACGTGAGACTGCTGCTGCTGCTGCTGCTGCTGCTGCTGCTGCTGCTGCTGGGGGCCCCCTTTGCTGCTGTCGCTCTTCTTGGGGGCCTCCCTTTTTCCGGGGGCCCCCCCAGAACTTTTGCTGGCAGCAGAACGGTGGGCCTCCCTGTGGGGGCCCCCCTCTTCATCTTTGCTGCTGCGGCACGACCTGCAGCGCAGCACAAACCCTAAACCCTAAACCCTAAACCCTAAACCCTAAACCCTAAACCCTAAACCCTGAAGTCTAAACCCTGGTGGAAGGAAAGGCGTACAGGTCTTTATTTTGGAGGGGAGGCCTTGTGTTGCTGCCGAACCCTATAGAGGGCACATGCCTGCCGCTGCTGCTGCTGCTGCTGCTGCTGCTGCTGCTGCTGCTGCTGCGGGAGAGCATCGAGGAAGCAGAAGATATGCCAATGTATTTGTCTTTGTTTTTTGCTGCTGCTTCTCTTGCTGCTTGCAGCTCAGCAGCATCAAACACCAAAGTGGTGCACAACGTGGCCTTCTCCCGGACTGCAGCAAACAAACACGCCCTGCTGCTGCTGCTGCTGCTGCTGCTGCTGCTGCTGCTGCTGCTGGGGCTCCCGCAGCAAGCGGGCGGAGCGCAGCAGCAGCAAGGAACCCTCTCGGGCGCTGCCGCCGCAGCAACTTGCCGCTTCAACCAGACTAAATAATTAATTTAATTAATTAATTAAATTAATTAATTAATTAAATTAATTAATTAAATTAATTAATTAATTAATTAATTAATTACTGCCAGCGCCCTTGTCCCGCCCCTCTTCTGTCCAGCTAAAACTCTGCAAAGACTTCAACAAATAACTTCTGTCTTTGGCGTCTTCAGCAAATCTTTCGGGGCCATTTTTCAGCATATATTCCAGCACAGTGAGTCCCTGAGAAACAATTAATTAATTAATTAATTAATTAATTAATTAATTAATTAATTAATTAATTAATTAATTAATTAATTAATTATTTTAATTATTTGTAATTAATGCACTTGGTTTAATTCACTGTCTTTTTCTGAAGACAGGGGGCCGCTTCGGTGCGTTGCAAACAGCAGGCAGCACTCAAAGGGAAAGCAGCAGCAGCAGCAGCAGCAGCAGCAGCAGCAAGGACTGCAGCAGCAACAGCAACAGCAGCAGTGCTAGCAGCAGCCACGGCACTAGGAGCGGCGCTCGCAGCAGCAATAGCAGCACTAGCAGCCACAGCACTAGCAGCAGCAGCAGCAGCAGCGACAGCACAGCAGCAGCGACAGCATTGGCAGCAGCAGCAGCAGCAGCAGCAGCAGCAGCCAGGTGCTGCTGCTGCGCATGCACCGCACGGCAGCCTGCCGCTGGGTTGCAGCTCCGACTCTGCAGCTGAAGTGCATTTTTGCAATTAAATTTCATTAAATGCAAAATTATAAAAAATATAAATTGTAAATTAATTAATTTGATTTAAATTACTTTAAATATTCGCCGCCAGCGCTTTGGAGCCTCCGAAATAGCTGCCCAGACAGTCCGCGAGACCAGCGGGAAGTCGAGGCTGAGGTGTACGTACACCTCAAACGCATGCAGGCGAACTTGAGCGGCGAGAAGGCGAAATAAATTCGAAATGGAGAATTTAAAGTAAATTAAAATTAAATAATGAACTTAAAAGTAAATTGAAATTGAATAAATGAATTTAAAGTAAATTAAAATTAAATAAATGAATTTTGAATTAAATTAAAATTAAAACGCAAAAAATCCAAAGTTGAGGAAAAATATCAAATCCAAACT